TTTTTTTTCTTGCGTTATGCGGGCCTCTCACTGTTGTGGCCTCTCCCATTTGCGGAGCACAGGCTCCGGACGCGCAGGCTCAGTGGCCATGGCTCACGGGCCCAGCCGCTCCGCGGCATGTGGGATCTTCCCGAAACGGGGCACGAACCCGCGTCTCCTGCATCGGCAGGCGGACTCTCAAGCACTGCGCCACCAGGGAAGCCACCACCACCATTTTATCGAGCATTTTCCACATAAACCAGGTGCTGCTCCCAGTGCTATTTACTATGTAATTTAATATTTTTAGTATCTCCATGGAGTAGCACTATTATTTGTACCACTTTACGAAGAAGAAAAACAAAAGGAAGTCATTCTTTACATTGTAGAAATTTTGATGAACGAACATTATCCTCCTAAGTAAATAATTGTTCGCCTAGGAAATTTCCTAATTAGCTTGTGAAAAGAAGGAAACTTGTGGTTGAAGTCTTTTAAACTTGCAGCTAAAGGCTAATTAGTTTTGTTTACACTATTTACATATTAAGTCCAACACTTACTTCCAACATCGAGGTTCCTAGGAGGACCAAAGCTTTCTTTCCAAAATACAGGAAGAAATTACAGAGAAGTATGGCATGCTCCTCCTTATTTCCAATAGCCAAACTGATGCAGCGCTAAAGCAAAACAAAAGCAACAAAGACACAGAAAAGGAGGGGAGGAGAGAAAGTTGAGTAATGCAAGCATTCAACAGATTTAGAGTCCCTCCAAACCCTCACACACACATTCTTGCCAGGTCACTAAGATGACTGCAAAGCCGAAAGCTCCAGCACCTTTTGCTTGTTAAAACACTAGGGCATTAGAAAGAGAGAACATTAACTTGGAACATAAGGATCACCTTTATCATGGGATAATTAATGTGGATACTGTGTAAGTGACCCAATAATTTTATCCTCCAAAATGGGGCATTTTTGTTTGAGACAAATACCCTGGGAAAACAGGGATATATTGGCTGATATTTTAAGGAACTTCACCTGATGGGAAATCACATAGTGTTTTTGGAGGGAGGGATCCTTTGGTCAATGGAGCTACACTCTGTCCTGTACCAATATAGTGCTCTCAACTGAAAGAGAGGAAGAGATCTGAGTTGGAGCCCAATCAGAAAGAGTAATGGAAAATTCTTTAATTGAAAGAGCTGAACAGTTGGGCTGGGTGTAATCAAATACAGGGTGCCTAGTAAAGCAGTGGTAGCAGGAGAGAAAAAGCACAGCAGAGGTGGCAGACCAGTGGTCTGTAACCTAGTTCTAGTTGATAGGTGTGTTTCATTTGGCCCCGAAATACTTTTAAAAATTGGAAGATCTCATATAAAACTCTGGATTTCTGGCTTGAAAAATCAAAGGATCTAACGAAATGTACAGGCCCAAATGTTCATATGGCAATGATGTGTTATTGCTGAGTAGCGCTGAACCATTTAGACTGCACATATGCTTCCATTTCGTTAGTCCCAGAGAAAGGGCTGTGGTGGTCAGGGAGCTTGGGGAGGGGGCGCTCAGGAGCCCTTGGAGTGACTATTTACCAGTCTGGAAGCATTTCAATGTTTTAACAACTGATATGGCCACATCAGTACACACCGGCTGAATGTGATGGTGAGGGATGGAGGCTAGGGAGGATGGTAACGTGGCTCTTCTGAAAGATCTGTGTGAACAGGAGAATGAAGAGCAGATTATGAGCAGTCTTCAATGTCAGGCCAAGGAGGTTCCCCTGACTGGATTTCATAAGAGAAGGAGGGAATGGATGAGAGTAGGTGACTAACATACTGCGTTCCAGGTGCCTATCCTTTCAAAACCCCTGTATGACAAAGATGAGGAAACTGAGGTTCAAAGAAGCTAAATAACTTATCTTAGGTCACACAGCTATCAGATGGTTGAAGTAGGATTTGAACCAAGGTTTGTTTGACTCCAAGACTGTATGTTGGGTAGGAGAAATAACTCTTGTCTTGTGACAATCTAATTAGTCATTCACTCATGGGTATCCCAAGTCCAAAGAGTTCATGTCAATGGGAAGACATTAGCCAAGAGGAAGCCTATGACTGTGGTAACCTGTGGATTATGGGTATTGTTTGGACTGAAGGGCACTCGGGAGCACTAGTATTTGCCTGAATGGTTATTTTTAGCTACTTTAGCTACTTTCAGTGTTCTGCAGGATCATAATACCCCTGAACACATTCTGATTAGTTTGAAGAGTCTAAGAAGAAACTAGAGTTAACTGACACCTCTTTGAGTTTTACCAGATTTGAATCACTGGATCCTGAAACAAACCACGTGCTTGTATCTCCCTTACTCCCACTTAGCAGAAGGCAGGGTAGCTGACCTATTAAGATAGTCCTGTGCCCCCTAAGTCCATTTCAGCTAAAAAATCTAACCTCTAAAACATTCTAGATAAGTGCCAGGACTATCAGTTACAGATGGAAAGTGTCCTTCTCTTAGGCTCCCATCATGCTGGTATTTTCCATTAAAAATGTTGAATACTTGCTAAATTTAAAGTACGTACAAGTGACGAATATAAAAATAAATAAGAATCAAATCTTCCTTATCATTCAAGGAGATTAAACTTGCGATGTATAGGTACAGTGTGTGGGTATAGGGCCAGTATATAAGCAACTAAATATAATTTAAGGTGGAATGGAAAATGTGTTCTAATTAGGGCTGCCACACTTGCGGGGGTGGGGTGGGGAATAGGATGCCTAGTTCAATTTGAATTTCAGATAAACAAGTAGTTTTTTAGTATAAATATGTCCCAAATATTGCATGGGGCCTGTATTTTACTTGGAAATCAGTCTAAAGACAATTTTAATCCAAGTGCCAAGGAAGAGCACTGCTATATAAGCTCTTCATTCAGATGTGGGAAAACTGGGGAAAGCTTCTGGGAAGTGGTGGTATTTCTGCTAGACTTCAGGGTCTGACCACCTCTATAGTGAACAAGCCATATTTCTCTCTGGAGAATGTCATAATATTGTACTCCTGGAATTCCTGGTGAATCTCAATATTATGAGCTACTTAAAATGTTGAATAAGAATTTTGGTCTTTAAGAATTATTTTTACGGATCGTTATAGAGCTGAAAATGATGTATTAAATTATCAATTGCCTTCAAATTGCACGAAGCAAATTACTACATAAGTGCATAATATTTTTTAAAAGTTTTCTTTAAAAGAAAAGCAAGTAAGAAATACTATACATTTAAATTATAAAATGTAATTTGTTACCTCTGATGTCATCCATATATCAAAACCATCATTTTCATCCAGTGTATCAGGCATAATAGGAATCAAAGATACAAAGTGAGCAACGAGGTCCTAAAATAATATTAACTAACAGTTACTGAGAGCATACTATATGCCTATCACCAAGCACAGTGCTTTACATGCACTGTCATCACATTTAGTGTATCCTACAAGCCTATGAAGTATACACTATTATTAATTTTATTTTACAAAAGAAGAAACAAGCTTAGAGTGCTAAGATAACTTGCTCAGGGTCACACACTAACACAATATATGGGTCTCTGGGAATAAGCCCAAGTTAGCATGACTTCAGAGCATGCATGTTAACTATTACATTTCATTGTTATAAGTAAAAAATTTAAACACGATACATTACATGTATACTTTAAAGTATAACTGTTTAAAAAATGAAAAAAGATGTTGAAGAATAGCAAAAGTTTGATTTACTTTTAGGTTCAAAATCAAGCAGAAATATTTTTATTAATAAAAACTAGTTACAAGTTGCTGCAGCAAGAAGTTATTGGTGCAGCCTACTTTTTCCAACAACAGAAGTTCTATTATGGATTGTTCCCCCTATAGGGCTGGAGATAAGGACTCGGACTAGAGTAGGAAAGAAGAAAGGAATACAAATAAACAATGAGCTAACACAGAAAGTTCACCAACATTTTCACTGATTTACAATAGCCACCATTTATGCACTATTATGACTTCCTACACTGGTCATGTTTCTGACTTCATGCAATTAATTAAACATGGTTCACAATCCTTGATAAGCAAAGGAGCTAGGATTTATACTTTTTTGAAAAGGCAAAGATTGTCCTTGAAAGAAATCTGAGAACATTATTATCTCCTTGGACTTTGGGTGTCAGGAAACAGGCAAGAAACATGTAATGGAAAAGCAGAGTGTAGCAAAAGGTGATCTAAACTAGGACTTTTGATTTTAGCTTAAAGAATCCAGGTAAGAGCTTTATACTGGGAAATAATATAAATTTTCTGAGGAGAGTCAACTGACTCAATCAAGCCTGAATAAATAAAAGGTATAAATGATTTTTCATAGATGCCCTTTAATCAAAGCTTATTTTTTCTTTTTTTTATGAAAATAAAATCTTTATTTTCAGTTATTACCCACCAATAAGAGAAAGTTCACAGTTTTAGCTCTTGACACAAAGTGAACTAGGAGGCAAATTTACATCCATCAGATACAACTAATGGACCAACTTTTAAAATCCAGGCTATCTTGAAAGCTTGCAACATACCAGATATTGCTGTGTATTCTCTAGTGACAGAATGCCAGCAATGGCTGACAATGACTTGTGAAGTGTTTTTAATAGCAGTGTTTTTTTATATGTTGCTAGAAATCAGGAGGTTTGTAACACATTCGTGTCCAGAAATGGGTTAAGATACTTTAAAGTCTAAACACAAAATGTATGAGTGTGTTTAGGAGTATGTATGTTGCAGTCTCAAGAGGGGTCAGTAGTCCATATGGACTAAATTAATACTTGCCTCTGGGTAGCAGGTATGTTTGTAAATATAAAATTATGTTAAACATTAGCACCAGGGCAGAACATGCTCAGCATCATAAGGTCCAAAACACCAGCACAAGTTTATCCATCATTAAAAAAAACCAATTACCTCCTTCCTAAAATGTCAAACTAGTAGGTAACTAGATTAATAAATCTAATCCCAATGAATGACTCTTGTACTGTACAATTTCTCTTTTAGAAGTATAGGGGAGAACTAATCAGCTAAACAGACATTTTATGATTTAAAGTCTTAAATCATAAAGTATTTTTAAAACTGGACATTACCATACATAGATAGAAAATTACTAATAAGAGTGACAAAAAAGAGCTTTAAAACTGTAAATAAAACCCCTTTCCTGTTTATCAATAAATGTTGCAGAAGACTTAAAAAAAGAAGATCCTAGAAAGCCTGTTTATTGATTATTCTCTCCATGTACGTTTTAGTAAGTGGTGATGCTCTTGATCAAGAAATCCATTATTAACCTAATTTTCTAATGGAGGAAGAGGTAAAAGATACTTATCACCTTCTGTGGAATCTATCAACTTAAGACCAAAATTAATAACAATATAGGAACTTCAGAAACAGAAAAATTTGTGGTTTGTATTTCGTGCATGGTGCTGCTGTTCCAACCTTATAAAGTAAACCTGTCTGCAAAGCTTATTTTTTTCTTAAACGGGAGACTAGATCTCTGATTTCACATTTTCGTTTCTCAGAGTGGAAGAAGCTATATTCTCTTCTGAGTCCATAATGAATACAGGTACATGTCTCTTGTGTCAGCTGGTAAATAACAGATATGCATAAAGCCACGTAAGGATGGGGTGGGAAGTGTTATGTTGGCAGTTTACATAGCAAAACGTAACATAGGTCTGGGAAGATCCCACATGCCACGGAGCAACTAAGCCCGTGCCCCACAACTACTGAGCCTGCATGCTGCAACTACTGAAGCCCGCGCTCCTAGAGCCCGTGCTCTGCAACAAGAGAAGCCACCGCAATGAGAAGCCCACACACCGCAACGAAGAGTAGCCCCCGCTTGCCGCAACTAGAGAAAGTCTGTGTGCAGTAACGAAGACCCGAGGCAGCCAAAAATAAATAAAACAAAACCCCAAAAAACATAGTTTCTTCACTCCCACATACAACAATAAGCAATCCTTAGAAGGGCACAACTCCTTTAGAAACATAACTTTTAATTTTGCCTGGAAGTCAAAGGAATTTTTCTGTGTCATTTTTCAAAGTTTGACAGAAAAGTTGTGAAGCTGATATGGTCACGTGAACTGGTGTGGCAACAGTGACTCTCTAGTACAAGTGGGCAGAAGTGAAGGGGATCAGGAAGAAATGTTTTCTTCCATCTGGTGCTCAAGAGGACACATTGCAACATAGATGGTTTTTCTCTCAGGAAACTGTTTCTGAAGGTAAAGTAATTTTAACAAGAAAGTTATACTCAAAGTTAATAATAAAAAGTACATAAGTTAAAATAAATTTGGAGTGATCAAAATGTTCTAAAATTTACTGTGGTGATGGTTGCACAGCTCCATGTATATACTAAAAGCCATTGAATTATATGCTTTGGAAAGGCAAATTGTATGGTATACGAATATCACAATAAAGCTACTAAAATAAATATAACTTACAAGTGTTGTATTAGAATCATGAAGAAATATATCCAGGAGTTGTTGAGGTGGATTCAATGCCTTGATATATCTTGTTACTAAGATCTGTATCCCTTCATCATTAAAAACAGTAGTTGTGATTCTTCGTTCAGGAAATAATGCCTTACAATTTTTTTTAAAAATCTGTGCTCTCTCCAAAACATCTATTTGACCTGAAAACTAGAATCAAGTTTAAAATATTTCAACATTGTACTATATTGTCCCCACAGGAAAATATCAAGAACCAACATTCATTTTTGTCAGCTTTGAAATTAACACTTCTTTGAGAGTATATATGAAAATAATTCAGTGTAAAACCTACCTTGTTTAGTTCTGGATTACAGATGGCATATGATACTTGAGGTTCAATAGTAGCAAAAATATTTAAGAAGGTACATTCTTTTAAATTCTGTCCATTATAATCTTCTTTAGGAGACACATAAGTCTCACTCCAAGTATACCCAAGCAAAACTGGTGGAATATTTACTTGAAATGTTCCACTAATCTGAAAGAGTATATCAGTATAATGGATTCTGCATGATGAAAATAAACATCAGTCAAATATAGTACAGCTCAGTTCAGTCTTCTCCATTGCAGGAAACAGGCTTGTATGGGTTCATGCTGATTCTACTAATAGGTACTTGCACAAGGATGGTAAGCTTCTCCATGATGATTTGTTCACAGGCAACCTTGACACCCTGGGTCCCTGTCTAATATGTAGTACGTGGAGAAGGCAGAAGTAAGAAAGGGATGAAACAATGAAGCAAGTTAATGGACCAGAGTGATAAAAGCTCTTAGAAGATCTAATTTAAGCTCAGAGAAAATGCTAAAAGACCATGATACATTTTGCATTGGGTCTCGAAAGAGGAAAAAAAAAATGTAAAAGTAGGAAGGATGACCCAAAGTCCACTGGAGGAGGGATCTTGTGTGTGTGTGTGTGTGTGTGTGTGTGTGTGTGCGCGTGCGCGCGTGCACGCGCATGTTTGGGAGGAGATAATTTACAATAATAACTAATAATAATACTAATATAACTAATAGTTATTGAGCACTTACTATGTACAAGGCATTCTGCCAAGTGCTTGATATAGATCATATTATTCAGTGAGGTAGACACCGCTCTTATCTCCATTTTATAGATAAGGAAACTGGGGCTCAGAGCATGTAAGTAATTCGTGCAAGATCACAAAACTAATGAGTAGTAGAGCCAGGATTACAACACAGGTTGGTCCACTTTTTTTGGGGGGGGGCGGGGGTACACGGGCCTCTCACTGCTGTGGCCTCTCCCGCTGCGGAGCACCGGCTCCGGACGCGCAGGCTCAGTGGCCATGGCTCACGGGCCCAGCCGCTCCACGGCATGTGGGATCTTCCCGGACCGGGGCACGAACCCGTGTCCCCTGCATCGGCAGGCAGACTCTCAACCACTGCGCCACCAGGGAAGCCTGGTTGGTCCCCCTTTGAAGCTCACATTCTTAATTACTTCTCTATCCTAGCATCTGGCCTGAGACTGAGAAACATCTGCAGGGATTTACAAACATAGGAAGCCCTATACCTCCAACAATTTAAAATCTCCGTTGCTCTTTATCTGCAGCACTTGTATTTTCAGCGTGCTCCCTCAGGACATCCTGTGATTGCATAATACGCAGACGTTTCTAGTCTCCCCCATTCTCTTCTCCTTTCTCACCAACAGTTTTAGGTGGTAACATGACAGCCATGTAGTGACCAAGTCACATAAGTAAAATGCAAGAAGCCTGAGAGGTTTTCTGGGGAAGTGTCTGTTTTCCTGATACAGGCACTGCCCCTTCTTGCTTCACCCCACCTCCTGTCTGCAGCATGAATATGAGGCTGGAGGTGCAATTATGAGGATGAAAGTCACATGATAAGGAGAGTAGAACATAGAGACAAAAGTAGCTTGGATCCTTGATGATATTCTTGAGCAGATGCACTGGCATCTAGACTTCTTTTTTGTGAGATAAATAGACCTCTTACATCAGCCACTGTTAGTCAGGTTTTCTGTTGCATATGACTGGATACAGTAGTACTAACTGATACACACATAATTCCTTCTGAGTCAAATGACTTTGTGTGTTTGATAAATGCATCTTTAGGGACTTGATTAAAAGTTATCTCCTCTGTAAATATTCCCCTGATCTTTCATCCTCCTCCTCATTCCCCTCTTACCTACCCCGAACCCCTCTGAACACCCCCTTGCTTCCCCCTCCAAACCAGGAAGGGTAGGGTACTCCTTACTCAGTGTTCTCATAGTACCAATCTCATGCCCCTATCAAAGCCCTACAGCATTACCATGTTGTACTGAAATGGTTGTTTTCTTCTATAGACAGTGAACTCCTTGAGGTAGAAAATTCATTTCTGAATCATCTGTAACTGGCATATCTCTGTAAGTTACAGGGCCCCAAATGAAATCTAGAATGGGGATTTTATATTTTGCTGGCCATGTAGGCATATTCTTGCTGCTAAACCCAGCAGCAGAGCCCTCTGGGGGTACCACAGACACAGATGCTAATCTTCAGTCTCACCATTAACAATAAACAGTGTTTGAGGAGCTGAAACTCCTGGAACCCATGGTTACAAAGCAATGTCATTAATCAGAATATTTATGAATCTTGTCTTACAAAACTATTAAGAGCAAATATGAATGTTGCTTTAAGACTTAAGGCTACCTGTCCTTTTCTTCATCAACAAACACTCTAAAAATAAATGAAATAAATTTGTGGGTGTCTCCTATTCCAGAGACAGCTAAAACCTTCAAATACTCCAACACCCATGGGGCAGCTGAATACAGGATCATTTTGACTAACTTATCAACCTGCCACTCAGAATATGACTCAAAGACACAGGTATTTCTATTAGCCAGAGACAAAAATTCAGAATAATTAGCAAAGAATCATTTTCTATTACCTCAGATTGTTGCAGGAGAGCAGAGAAAGGGAAGACAATGGATCCTAGCCAATTCTTTCTTATATATGAATGACCACTGCAGCTCTTGAAACTGTGATCCTATTAAAATAAATAAATTTCCTATTACTCATTCTATATCATGTGATGGATAATTTCACACAAACATGTAGGTAAGTATAAAAAATTCTCTTCCTTTTTAAAAAGAAACCAAAGAGTAAATAGAAAAGATTTTTTTTCGCATTTTAAAAAATTTCTTTAAAAGATAATTGACTATTTAAAGCAATAATAATGACCTGTTGTGGAGTTTATGACATGCATATAAGGAAAATGTATGATAACACTAACACAAAGCACAGGAGGGGAAATGGAAGTAGAGTAATATCCTGTTCTTACACTATATATGAAGTGGCATAATATTATATAAAGATAGACTGTGATAAAGAATATATAATAAAAGCTAGAGCAACAATTAAGAAATAAAAGAAGTATAGCTAATAAGCCAATAGTGGAAGTGTGATAGAATCATAAAAGAACTCTATTAGTGCAAAAAAGGGAGGAAAAAAAGAAAAAGGAACAAAGAAGAGATGGGACAGCAGAAAGCAAATAGGAAGATGGAACCCAACCAGGTCAATAATTACACAAAATGTAAATAGCCATTCATTAAAAGGTAGAGATTATTACACTGAACAGTCAGCTCCACCCACCACCATTCCCTCCCAACAGGAAACTTGCACAAGCCTCTTAAATAGCCTCATCCACCAGAGGGCAGACAGCAGAAGCAAGAAGAACTACAATCCTGCAGCCTGTGGAACAAAAACCACATTTATAGAAAGACAGACAAGATGAAAAGGCAGAGGGCTATGTACCAGATGAAGGGACAAGATAAAACCTCAGAAAAACAACTAAATGAAGTGGAGATAGGCAACCTTCCAGAAAAAGAATTCAGAATAATGATAGTGAAGATGATCCAGGACGTTGGAAAAAGAATGGAGGCAAAGATCAAGAAGATGCAAGAAATGTTTAACAAAGACCTAGAAGAATTAAAGAACAAACAAACAGAGATGAACAATACAATAACTGAAATGGAAACTACACTAGAAGGAATCAATAGCAGAATAACTGAGGCAGAAGAACAGATAAGTGACCTAGAAGACAGAATGGTGGAATTCACTGCTGTGGAACAGAATAAAGAAAAAAGAATGAAAAGAAATGAAGACAGCCTAAGAGACCTCTGGGACAAAATTAAATGCAACAACATTTGCATTATAGGGGTCCCAGAAGGAGAAGAGAGAGAGAAAGGACCAGAGAAAATATTTGAAGAGATTATGATCGAAAACTTCCCTAACATGGGAAAGGAAATAGCCACCCAAGTCCAAGAAGTGCAGAGAGTACCATACAGGATAAACCCAAGGAGAAACATGCCGAGACACATAGTAATCAAATTGGCAAAAATTAAAGACAAAGAAAAATTATTGAAAGCAACAAGGGAAAAATGACAAAAAACATACAAGGGAACTCCCATAAGGTTAACAGCTGATTTCTCAGAAGAAACTCTACAAGCCAGAAAGGAGTGGCATGATATATTTAAAGTGATGAAAGGGAAGAACCTACAAACAAGATTACTCTACCTGGCATGGATCTCATTCAGATGTGCTGGAGAAATCAAAAGCTTTACAGACAAGCAAAAGCTAAGAGAATTCAGCACCACCAAACCAGCTCTACAACAAATGCCAAAGGAACTTCTCTAAGTGGGAAACACAAGAGAAGAAAAGGACCTACGAAAACAAACCTCCCAAAATTAAGAAAATGGTAATAAGAACATACCTATTGATAATTACCTTAAATGCGAATGGATTAAATGCTCCGACCAAAAGACACAGGCTTGCTGAATGGATACAAAAACAAGACCCATATATTTGCTGTCTACAAGAGACACACTTCAGACCTAGGGACACATACTGACTGAAAGTGAGGGGATGGAAAAAGATACTCCATGCAAATGGAAATCAAAAGAAAGCTGGAGTAGTAATACTCATATCAGATAAAATAGACTTTAAAATAAAGAATGTTACAAGAGACAAGGAAGGACACTACATAATGATCAAGGGATCAATCCAAGAGGAAGATATAACAATTGTAAATATATATGCACCCAAAATACGAGCACCCCAACACATAAGACAACTGCTAACAGCTATGAAACAGGAAATCCACAGTAACACAATAATAGTGGGGGACTTTAACACCTCACTTACACCAGTGGACAGATCATCCAAAACGAAAATAAATAAGGAAACAGAAGATTTAAATGACACAATAGACCAGATTTAATTGATATTTATAGGACATTCCATCCAAAAACAGCAGATTCCAGTTTCTTCTCAAGTGCGCATGGAACATTCTCTAGGATAGATCACATCTTGGGTCACAAAGCAAGCCTCAGTAAATTTAACAAAATTGAAATCATAACAAGCATATTTTCTGACCACAATGCTATGAGATTAGAAATGAATTACAGGGAAAAAAAACGTAAAAAACACAAACACATGGAGGCTAAACAATACGTTACTAAATAACCAAGAGATCACTGAACAAATCAAAGAGGAAATCAAAAAATACCGAGACAAATGACAATGAAAACAAGACGATACAACACCTATGGGATGCAGCAAAAGCAGTTCTAAGAGGGAAGTTTATAGCTATACAAGCCTACCTCAAGAAACAAGAAAAACCTCAAATAAACAATCTAACTTTACACCTGAAGGAACTAGAGAAAGAAGAACAAACAAAACCAAAAGTTAGCAGAAGGAAAGAAACCATAGCGATCAGACAAGAAATAAATGAAATAGAAACAAAGAAAACAATAGCAAAGATCAATAAAACTAAAAGCTGGTTCTTTGAGAAGATAAACAAAATTGATAAACCATTAGCCAGACTCATCAAGAAAAAGAGGGAGAGGACTCAAATCAATAAAATTAGAAATGAAAAAGGAGAAGTTACAACAGACACTGCAGAAATACAAAGCATCCTAAGAGACTACTACAAGCAACTCTATGCCAATAAAATGGACAACCTGGAAGAAGTGGACAAATTCTTAGAAAGGTATAACCTTCCAAGACTGAACCAGGAAGAAATAGAAAATATGAACAGACCAATCACAAGTAATGAAATTGAAACTGTGACTAAAAATCTTCACACAAACAAAAGTCCAGGACCAGATGGCTTCACAAGTGAATTCTAACAAACATTTAGAGAAGAGCTAACACCCATCCTTCTCAAACTCTTCCAAAAAATTGTGGAGGAAGGAACACTCCCAGAAATCTCTTGCATTCCTATACAATAATGATGAAAAATCTGAAAAAGAAATTAAGGAAACACTCCCATTTACCATTGCAACAAAAAGAATAAAATACCTAGGAATAAACCTACCTAGGGAGGCAAAAACCTGTATGCAGAAAACTATAAGACACTGATGAAAGAAATTAAAGATGATACCAACAGATGGAGAGATATACCATATTCTTGGATTGGAAGAATCAATATTGTGAAAATGACTATACTACCCAAAGCAATCTACAGATTCAATGCAATCCCTATCAAATTACCAATGGCATTTTTTACAGAACTAGAACAAAAATTCTTAAAATTTGTATGGAGACACAAAAAACCCGAATAGCCAGAGCAGTCTTGAGGGAAAAAATTGGAGCTGGAGGAGTCAGACTCCCTGACTTCAGACTATACTACAAAGCTACAGTAATCAACACAGTATGGTACTGGCACAAAAACAGAAACATAGATCAATGGAACAAGATAGAAAGCCCAGAGATAAACCCACGCACCTAGGGTCAACTAATCTATGACAAGGGAGGCAAGGATATACAATGGAGAAAAGACAGTCTCTTCAATAAGTGGTGCTGGGAAAACTGGACAGTTACATGTAAACGAATGAAATTAGAACACTTCTTAACACCATACACAAAAATAAACTCAAATGGATTAGACACCTAAATGTAAGACCAGACACTATAAAACTCTTAGAGGAAAACATAGGAAGAACACTCTTTGACATAAATCACAGCAAGATCTTTTTTGATCCACCTCCTAGAGTAATGGAAATAAAAGCAAAAATAAACAAATGGGACCTAATGAAACTTGAAAGCTTTTGCACAGCAAAGGAAACCATAAACAAGATGAAAAGACAACCCTCAGAATCAGAGAAAATATTTGCAAATGAATCAATGGACAAAGGATTAATCGCTAAAATATGTAAACAGCTCATGCAGCTCAATATTAAAAAAAACAAACAACCCAATCCAAAAATGGGCAGAAGACCTAAGTAGACATTTCTCCAAAGAAGACATACAGATAGCCAAGAAGCACATGAAAAGCTTCTCAACGTCACTAATTATTAGAGAAATGCAAATCAAAACTACAATGAGGTATCGCCTCACACCAGTTAGAATGGGCATCATCAGAAAATCTGCAAACAACAAATGCTGGAGAGGGTGTGGAGAAAAGGGAACCCTCTTGCACTGTTGGTGGGAATGTAAATTGCTACAGCCACTATGGAGAACAGTACGGAGGTTCCTTAAAAAACTAAAAATAGAATTACCATATGATCCAGCAATCCCACTACTGGGCATATACCCAGAGAAAACCATAATTCAAAAAGACACATGCACCCCAATGTTCATTGCAGCACTATTTACAATACCCAGGTCATGGAAGCAACCTAAATGCCCATCGACAGACGAATAGATAAAGAAGATATGGTACATATATACAATGGAATATTACTCAGCCATCTAAAGGAACGAAATTGGGTCATTTGTTGAGACATGGATGGAT